TTATTATTCATATTGAGTGTCAGGTGATTGTTTCTTGTTCCTCTTCTTCTCTGCCTTCATACAATTTGTTTGTTGGTATTTTCTTCAGGTATTTTATGAGATACCACAATTATGAAGTGACTGATAATTGCCAGAGCCTGTACGTCCTGTCCTCCTTCACAGAGGGTGGTTCTGTTCCTCTCTCCTGTTCTCATGGCCTCCTAACATTGGGGAGTTCCTCACTGATAGTGAGCTCAGGTCCACGAGCATCCACCAATCTTTTCTGAAGGATGGAAAGGATATATTTTGTCAGTAGGTCTTTACACCATCTGACTGTTAAAGTGTTTTTTGGTTACTTCTGACCACATTTTTGCTTTCATTCCCACACTTCATGCTGCTGATTTTTATCCTGTTAAGCAGTTGGTCCAGCCTTTGGATGCTTTATATGTGTGTACCTATATAGCTTAAAGCAAAAAACCACACGTCACTATTCATCTTTCTCTTCTATTTGTGTTGTTAGGAGGAGTAGTTAGCTAAATTATACCTGATTGCAAATAGCATCTGTTTGATGTTGAAGCTCTGTATTCTTTCTTCAGTTGCATTTTGAAGCTCTCTCTTATTGCGACTGATTTGGAGTTAGGAGTCTGGAGAGGAAGAGGAGGGGAAATCTTGCCACTGATTTCCTATAATGAAGCAGTCTATTAGCATTCTCCTAAAATTATCATTAATTAAACAAAAAGCTCATCTCGCACTAGGAGCAGGAATATTTCTGCACCATCAAAAAGGCACTGAGTGGGAAATATCATTATGATTCCACTTTACGAAGTCTCTCTCCTCTGCCAGGCTGGAACCCGTGCAGGAGCGAGAAAGCAGGCGAGCTGTGTTTGGGTTTTGGATTAATAGTTGAAGTTCACTCATGTGGAAATAAAGCAGATTTTACTTTGACTGGAATTTGTCATTAAAAAGCCATTATCAGAACCGACCAGCACAATTCCTGCTCTTTCATTGCTAATGACAAAACAATCTGTTCTTTCAAACACAACAACTTTATATTTTCTTTCAGAGAATGGCGCAGGAGTCCTAACAGAGCAGAAGCTGGGTGAAGAAAGGCAGCCCAAAGATTTATTGATCAATAAAGCAGACAATTACAGCTTGTTTATAAAAGGGAAAGAAAAAATCTCCAACCCAAAACCTTGGGTCTGCAAGCAACACTGAAGCTCTAATAATGACAACTGTGGTATCCAGCTTCAAACGATAAAAGTCAATAGGAAGATATAGGATTTCAATAAAATTATGACACTAGATAAACTTTACCCCAGGAACAGATTTTCCCAGAGTGTGTGACTGACTTCAGTGAGATTTGTAACTTTAATTTCTTTCCTATTGATTTTTCTTTTCTCCAACTAATTAGAAAGTCTGCGGTGAATTCTGTGTGTATAGGTTTGAGGAAGGGCCAACAGGCATCAAGGAGAATAGGGCCTGAGATTTTATTTATACATACCTATATATAACATAAATAAAGGGTCCAATGGCATTTTTAAGTCTTTTACTATATTTTGCTTTTTCTCCACTTGCTTCCAATGTACAGCAGGGAGCTGTGTGTTCTCCTCCATGCGTGTCGGGGGCCATGGGCTGCCCTGGAGGTGTGTGCAGTGCTGCTTTGGTGATGTGGCTGTGCTGTAAGGATGGTGGCAACTGGTGGATGCTTATTGGAAGGCTTCTCAGTTCTTCCCCTAAAAACAACCCAAAGAGGGGTTCCTAGAAGAACCCTCTTATGTTACTGCTGTTTCTAAGCTGCTCCTGTTGCCCTCTAGTGTGTCAGTGTCAATAAACTTTCCTGTGTCTTCGAGTTACTTACCAAATGGGTCAAATGTTGGCTTCAGGTAGGAGAAGGAATAGAGATGGTGGCAGAAGAACTGGAGAGAAGTTTGATCCTAGGGCTCAAACCAAGCCCTTCAGAACGTGGTTAGAGCGAGCTGCATTTCTGTTCTGGTGTTGATTAGAATGTGGCCTAAGTGAAGAACACCCAAATGTGTGCTGTGTTCTGCTTCTCCAGGGACTTCACAGGAACTGCTTTTGGTGAACTGCCATTGCAAAGTCAGAGTGTGAGTTACAGGATAGCAAAGATGCTTTGTGCTGGGTATGTTTTGGAAATTCTCCATGGGACCCCATTTTAGCAATTCTGCTGAATACTGCCTTGACAGAGCAGAAGTGTGAGAAAAAAGTCAGAGAAGATATACTGAAGTCACAGCAGAGGTCTTTGATGGGCTTGTGGAGTATTTTGTCGTATGGGATGAGGGGATACTGAGGCAATGACAGAACTAGGATTAAATTGTTGAGAACCTTCTTAAACAGAGAACTTCTCAACAAGAACTTCAGTTTCCTGCCAAACGAACAAGATCTTTGGAGGGAGAGAAAAGCTCTCAGTAAGTGCTCTCGGTGGGGGACGAATTGGAAAATGGAGCTGGGGACCACTTGTTGGTGAGAAATGATTTCATTACAGTATTAATATTTAGAAATAATTAAGGAGGAGAACTAGACTCCAGGATCAAGTGTTTAATTGTGCCGCCCTTTATTCCAGTTTTTCAGCCCCTTTTTTTCAATCCAGCTTGTGCTGTGTTTGCTGTGCATGCCTTTTCCTGGCGAGTTGCATCTTTTCAGTGTACAACTTTGAAGGGCAAGGTCTGTAGCTGGCTGCAGGGGAAACACACCCCATAAGAATGTCCTGCTCCTGTTCTCATCCAACATTGTCCTAAAATGAAAGCAGACGGTTGCTGTTGCAGCTGAACAGCTTGGGGAGCTGCTGGAATCTTGCTGGGAAGGACTTGACTGACCTCATATTCGGCAGTTAATTGGAAGCCAAGTGTGATGGGAATTGCCACAGGTCCTGTTTGCTGCTGAAAAAATGCTCAGGGGTTTGGAACTGCCCTCCTGTAATGGAGAGAACATTGCCATGTTAAATTATCACATTGAGGAACGATGCTTTGCAGAAAATTAGAATAGGGAGCAGCTTGGAGTACATAGAGAGCTAGTGAGATGAGGCTGTAATTGCAACAGTGTGCAAGGATAAACCCAGTAACTTCAATAAAAGCCATCATTATGTACTCTTCTGTGTCCTAGACAGGGATTCTGGGGTAAACAGAGAATGAAAGTCTAAGCAAAGGCAGGCTGCCTTCTGCAGAGTACACCTGGCAGACTGGGTGACGTGTGTGTGTTGCTGGGGGAGAAGGATGGAGCCATCCTTTACTGCTGGTTTTCTGCTAAACAAGTTCATTACCAGGCAGGTGTGGTGTGACTCCATCTGGTGTTCTCCTCCTACAGTAACATGGAAGTTTTTCTTTTCATGTGTCTGTTAGATCAGTAATTCTTTGTAAACCGTACTGGAAAACTGTTCTGTCCTTAGAAAAGTATTCCTCTTCATTCAGGCCTGAGCAAGAAGCCAATAATAGCTTCCATCACTCTGTGTTAGAACCTGTTTTTCTTTATTAACGCGCTTCTTGCAGCCTGAGGCTGGGCTTTGATCTTGAGATCCTTTTACCTGCTGACCTTTCAATGCATCATCACATGCTCTGGACAAAAACCATTCCTGTTGCAGTGCCCCCTTCTTATTTTCACACCTTGAATTTGGCTGTTCCTTCCCTTCCCCATGCATACACGTGCTGTCTGCAGTCAGCGTTTGACCTTTAGGTTAGAATGGAAAGGCTGTGGGCTTCAGGTGCAGGCTTGCTTGACTGAGCAGTTAGCATCCCTTTCTCTATCTGAAATATAGCCCTTATTATTAAACATTAAGTTTGGGATTGAGGGGAAGGGGCTTTCCTATTCCGGTAATTTTTGATTTCCACAGGAGAGCAGGGTCCCAGCCAAGTGTTTCAGCATGGCTAAGCAATGTTTGTGAGCTGCTCCAAGTTCTCTGTAGCAGCAGTGGCCTGGGAACGGCACAGCTGTAAAGCTGAGTGATCCTCTAATAACAGTTTGGATGTTTGTGATCACAGCATTCACAGAGATAATGGATTTGCCCTGAACGTTTGTGCATTGCTGCAGCAGGGTGAAATAGAAATTTCAGCAATAAAAGGGAAGCAACTCTGTAAGATTTCCTAGGAGTTTCTGCTCTTTTGATTTATGCGGTGGGAATGTACTGCTTTGGCTCTGTTCTGCAGCCTTGCAAACATCAAGGCTCTTCAATACAGTCAAAATATGAAACATTTCATCAGCTCTCTAATCCCTGTATGCACACTGCACTGTACCCAGCAATCTCTTTAAAACATACCTGGCTTTCTGGAATGTTGTTCAGCCTTTTGTCCCCACCAGTGTCTTGCCTACAAGGTGCTACCTAACACAGTTAGCTTTCAAGCCCAGCTTTTTACTTGGGAGTGTGAAAGCTCTTAGAGCATGGAGAAGGATCCTCCTGTTTGTAACCATCAGCAAATAGGAAAGTGAGCCAAGCACATTCTCGGCAGGATATTAACCTCTGAAATATACTAATTACAAGCACTGAATATTGCAGCACTCAACAGGTGATCAGTCACGTACCATTTGGAGGATATTTGCTCTTAGTCACTTTGCCCATCATCACATCTATTTCATTTTTGTTGCCATAATTCTTTTCATTCACTGCTGGAATTCTTTGGCAGGAAAAATGTCAAGTACTGCACTCAACGTTTTGCTGAAGAAATCTGTTCAGCCCGTTGAATTAGAACAGCGTCTCCAGAAAGAAGGAAGTCTCTGGTTTCACTTATTTGCTTGTTAGGGTGAATGCGTGTTGCTGTCCTGCGAGGGATGTGTGCTTTTTTATGCCCCAGACAATCTGATTATTCATTTCTTGTGTTTTTTCATTGATTTGTATCAGAGCTGCGTGCTCACACCTGTGACTCCATGCACATACAAAGACCATGAGAGTATATCCATCAGGGTTTTGTTTTTTGTTTTTGCAATGGAGAAAAGCAAGTTGTCCTGAGGACCCTCCTGCATGAGCAGGTTTGAGGGCCTTTACCCCTGACGATGATTTCTGTTCTTCCCTGCAGGAGCGTGATGGGATGCGGGCCATCCTGGAGTCGTACGACAGCGAGCTGACCCCAGCAGAGCACTCCCCACAGCTGAACCGGCGCATGCGGGAGGCCGAGGAGATGGTGCAGAAGCTGCACGCTCATAACTCCGAGCTGGAGGTAATAAAGCAGCATCCTTCTCTAACCCCAGGGGAGGGAACAGCCGAGGCCGTTTAAGACCGAGCTGCCTAGCAGTGTGCTCTGCAGAAGGCAGGTTTGCAAAATGCAGATTTGGCAATGCCAACGTCACTGAGACCCACCGCGTGGTGTTGGTGATTCCCTGCAGTGTGTGCAGCAAGGCTCTCCTGCAGGCTGTGTCACTAAGGGTGTGCTCACTAGGCCTTTACTTAGAGCATTTGGAGGAGTAAAGAACCTGTCTGCTGTTACTCTTCTCTTTGTGGCATTGGGCCTGAAAGCCCCAGAGCACCAGTAACTACATTAACTGCTTTTTTTATACTGGGGTTTTCTCTAAGAAAAACATTTTCTTTTTTTCTGAAGATAGTGTTTCTCAAAGGGATTCTTATATTATTATTCTCTTTATGTAAATTTGCAGGCTGAAACGGGGCTATAATGAGGTAAATTATAACATCCATTTGCCAAATTATTCCCTACCTCCCTGCTGTATTTGGTGGTAGTGGAACGGTCCTGAATAGAAATATTTGGAAATATCTCTGTGATCTTAAATCTTGGTATTTTTATTCCATAGATTTCACAGTAACTGTAAGTATGTGAGTATTCCTTTCTTCATGTATAATTCTACCAGCAGTCAGATTTATAGACCCTGTAATTCAAATAGAGTAAAACTTGTAGTAATTGCTGCTCCTGGGATTCCTAATGAAGTGAACTGCCCCGCTGTGCATCCATCTCCTTGTCACTCCTGTCATTTTCAGGAAACACTCTTTTCTTCTTTAATAGATAGGGGCTTAGGACGGGGAGTACTGGCTCCAGTGACCTCCAGAGCCTTAGCAGGCAGAGCAGTGTGGTGTGAGCTCTGTATTGCATTGTAGGTCCTCTTCCTCCCTGTTTCTCAGTTTTGGGCAAGTTAAGCCAGCAATCAGTGGCAGATGAAAAGGAAACTTCCCTAAATGTTTTCATCTCCTGTGGTTGTTTGATATCCGCGTTGTTGTACAGCAGGATCAGATGTCACTGGCATGACATGCTAGGTGGCTGATTCATCCTGTGCTCTGAGTTGCTGCCTGCAGTGGCTCTGGGTTGATGGATGGAGACGTCCTGAGTTGTTTTGCTGTATGGGTCGAATCTGCACTGGGTGGTAGCAGATTACCTTTTCCTTTTCAGGTGGAAGTGTGGAGGAGTGTTGGAACCAGTTCCTGCGTCCCTTTAATTATTTATAGGGAACAAATGATAAGTTTATCTTCATGGATATGGATTAAGGGCTATGTGGAAAATTTCAGAAAGGAGCTGTGTTCTCTGGAGGTTTGTTTTGTGTGATGTCAACCTTTAAGTCTTTCAAAGACTTTGCTAGAAGCAGGATTCAAAGTCCTTATATTCCCCTTGTAAAGTAAAATTTTATGCTTCACTTGCTTGTGTTTGCCTTTCTGACTGCAACGTTGGCTGCCAAATCCAATCAATTTTGAAATTTTGGAGTTTGTTGTTCTAGTAAAAATCCGAAAACCAGAAAGGGAAATGGAGGTCCATGAGGGCCTGCTGGCATCTCGTCATCAGGAGCAGCAGCTGTAAGTCACTGCCTGCAGATCAAAGATCTGGTTGATAGCAGCTATTAATAACTTCTCACATAATGCTCTGCACCTCCCAGCTCTGCACATTTTAGAATTGTTGGCACCTGTGTGACTCATCTCACAAACAAACAGAGGAGACAGCAGGAATGAGGCACCTTGGAGCTTCGGTTGATTTCTGAAATATGGGTTAAACTATCTCTGATGCTGCAGGGGAAGCAGAAGGGAACTTGGGCACATCTAAATGGTTGTTTTCATGGTTTGTTTTGTTTTTTTGCTATTGAACACTTCATTTACCCAAATCTCTGCCCATGTACCCTAGCAGAGAAACCTTTGATACTCGTAGAGCTGACATGTCTGTGTGTGTGTTCCTGCTGGCTGCCCCAGTCTGCTACCAGCAGCCCCACCTCTGAACAACCCGCAGAGGGAATAAGTGATGTTTCTAACCAGAGTTTTTTGTACTCTGGAAATGGAGATTTTTCCCATTCATTCCAACAGCAGCCCCATGTGAGTGAGGAGGCTCTCTGCTGAAGATGGAGCATAGGAAGAATTTGTGCTGAGGCAACAGCTTCTCACTTATCAGAAGCCTCATCTCCCTAATAAGTCTTCTGCTTGATGTGTAAGAGGAGGTGGGAAGCAGTTTAAAAGAACACAGGGAACAAGAGAAAGGTGTGTAGGCCCCGAGGGCTGCGTGTGAGCAGTTTGTTAGTGCATACTGCAGGGGTGGTGCGGTGCAGAGCTGTGTTGGGCCCTGTGTGACTGGCAGGACAGCTGCTGGGAACACTGCAGGGTCTGCATCATCAACCTCACTGGGAAGAAAGGCACCTTGCCAGCAGCTCAAATGCAGAGAGATGCTTCCATCCCAGCTTACTTTCTTGCACTTTGCAGCACTGTGTTGCTGCCAAAGAACTGGTCCTGTCTGTGCCTTGATAGGGCAGAGAACCATAGGATGAAGACAGGCTGATGGGGAGCTTTTAAAATCCCCTTCACTGATGACTGATGATACAAGCTGGATCTCTAATGCATGAGCATGCAAACACGTAGTCTGTTCTGGGGCTGAAAATGATTGCCATCTCCTGCCCAGAACTGCCTGCCCCTGTTCCACAGAGCTGAGCTGGCTGTCAGGGTTCAAGAAAGCCCTTTATGGAGCACTACACGTAAAGCAGGGAGGAGACCAAGAAAAGCACCACCTGAAATGGAAGCTGGAAAAAGCAAGCTGGCTGTGCCAGCCTATTTCGGGTGGTTAATGGAGTGTCACTCAGCATCTTTTTGAAAGTGTGTTTTGGAACTGAAAAGGGAATGAGTTTGTCTCTGGTCAGCATGTAATCAATACATAAAATTAACAGAATTGCGGTTGTGTTCCTGTCGTGACATAAATTTTCAGCTTGCAGTCAGCAATATTAGCAGTTTTTGTGCCAATCTTGATTAACTTTTACAACCGTTGCTCCCATTAACTCTAATCTCAAGATAAATGTGACAAAGCAAGAAGCCTCTGAGCGTGTGGCAGCTTGTGACAGAGCTCTGTTGTGGAGTTTAGTGTTTGAAAAGTTAAATCCAGCTGCACAAAAGAGAAATCATCATAAATATAACTCCATTAATAGCTATTTTATTACAACACACTTGGCTCCATATGAAACTTTAATGAAGAGAGATTTGCAAGGAAGACTCACGCTGACACCTTCAATGGTCTCTGGCATTTTTTACATTGAGAGATTTACACTGTCTGTGAACACCATGTGTATTCTAATCAGATAATTATGAGTCTGACAGTTCCAGCACGAGAAATGCCATATGCTCTGTGCTTTTTGTGGTGCTGTTTTTGTTGTGGATTACTTTTTTCATCGTGAGTATTACTGGTGACCTCAAAACTTGTTGACCAAAAATTGTCACCTTATCTGAGCGTGATGTTGCAGCTCATCTGCTGGTGGTACCTGTGGTGTTAGCCATAAGTCTGCTCCTCGCTAAGTGAGTTGCTTAGCAGTCACTCTGGTGCTTCAAGTGCTCAGAATTTATGTGGATGCAATAGAGTGTTTATTTGAGCAGTTAACAGTTCCTCCTCATCTCTCACCTGGCTTCCCCCTCAGTGCTTTTCCACTTTGTTTTACCTCCTTTTTTTCCTCCCTTTGATCCGCACTTTATGCTTGTTGTGCTTTATCCCTCTGCTGAGTTCTCTCTCTCCCTCAAAGGGAAATTGCTTCTTTACATGGCAGAAGGGGTTTCTGTGATGATGGGAGCTTAACAGAGAAATTCCCTTCTATCTGTGCGATGCACAGAGGAGTTTGTTTCCGTGTTCAGGTTTCTCCTGCCTGCTTTCACTGCCTCTCTGCTGCCTTCCAGCCTTTCTGCACCACTTATCTCAGTGACAAGTGTAAGAAGCAGTGAGAACATTGCCCTGCTCCCTTTGGATGTCCACAAGGAGCAAATCCGAGTCACTAGAGCTTTCCTGCCGTTCCAGCATGGTGTGTGTTTCGCTTGCCCAGACTTCTGCTGTCACTGTAGCATCTTATCTGTAATTCAGGAGGGAGAAAAGAGACTCTCTGGAGATGATGCTCACGTGCTGCACGCACCAGCTAGCACTGATCGCTGAAAAGCAGTGCAGGCCATCATATTCTGACACAACAAACTCCCTGTCAGAATAGCATTTGGAACCTGGGCGCTTTGGCATCTCTCAGCAGTTCTGAGCCTTCCTGGCTGCCGCTGCATCCTTCACCTTTCTTTTCTTTTCTAGAGGAGAGGTGGCTCAGGCTCTGCGTCCTCCAGCACCGCTGCGAATCAGATGATCTTTGGTTCTCTCTTCTCTCACACATTTCATCTTCCTCCAGACCTGAGTGCCCTTGTCAAGTCAGGGAGCTGTGAGTTCCCTCTCTCCCTTTTGCACCTGCTGGCGGCTGTGTTTGGGGAGAGCACCTTGCAAAGCGCCGTCACATAAATGAGGAAGTCGCATCGTGAGGGGTGCAGTGATTTGTTAAAGGTGACAGTCCCTGCTCTGTGGGAATGCCCTTAAAACTGGCTGGTGCCACAGCAGCAGAGCCTGTCTCCTTGGACCCAACGCTTTTGTAATTGGTTGGACTAGATGTTAAAGCCCAATTATTATTAATTTTATTTTTTATTTTTTGGAGATGCTTCCTCATTTTGGATCTGTACCGAAAATCAGGTGGTGTGTGGCAATGCCTGTGCTATAGGTATCCTGCACAGAGCAGGGTTGTAAAGGTGGATTTTTACAGCTTGTTTTAATGTGGATGCTCTGACAGTTTAAGAATGGCTTTAACTCAGCAGTTCCTTGGGACCACAGCTAAAGAGGAGCAGGCTGCCATCATTCTTAAGAAATGAGAATTCTTGACACCAACTTGTAGAGAGTAAATTGAATCATTAATGAAGTTATCTGTCCTTCCAGCCTGTGGTACATATCAGGGGCTGCAGGAAGCA